GGAAGGGAAGGGAAGGGAAGGGAAGGGAAGGGAAGGGAAGGGAAGGGGTCCATGCTGGTTTAGACACAGGCTGCTGGGAAACTCCATGCACTCTTGGCTTGAAGACCTGTCTTCTGACAGTTGTAGGATCACAGCACAGCTGTAGCTCTCTCTCCCATTTGGAAAGCACTACACGTGGTGGTAGCTAGGTATTTGTAGCTAGGTGGTAGCTAGGTATTTGTATTGTCAGCTTTTCAGGCCTCCAAATCTTTGATTCTTGTCAATTTAGCAACTCCTTCTTTGTATTTGAGATTGAAGACCAAACCAGATCTGCAACTCAAATGTTATTGAAATATTTGCATTTACTAGGCCTACTTTAAAAGACAGGCGTTGATATTTTTGCTTTCATCTTCCAGTTCTTCAGTGTGATGTCTTCTATCAGGTTCTCCTGGAATCAGTAGATCAAACTGAGAGATTATGAGATTCTACTCATAAGTAGACTCAAAGTCTACTCCCTGCTGCTAGCTGTATTTCAAGTTTTGGCTCCTGTGCATTCTTTTGGAATTGAATTAGAAAAATCTTCTACCAGTCATTCAATCTAAAAAAAACCAAAACCTTTCTTCCCTGATATTGGTATATGAAGTACCAAAACAGCACTTGAAAGATCCACTGCCTCGCAAAGTTTAATTTATCTCTGAAAGCTGACATACAAATACATAGAAGAAAAATCTTCCAGTTTCCAAACCTTCACTTGAGTGACCTCATATTCTCTGTACCTGAGCATTACTTTTGACCTTTGCTATGTTGTACTTGGCAAAAAAATAAAATCAATGCCTTTTTTGCTAAAGTCATCTCAACATCTTGTTTTGTGGAAGAGATTATTAGGACACATTACTTTGTTTTCTCTGAAAATGCTGATAATGCTCTCTTTTCAATAGATTTAGGTGCCTAAAAGATGTAGTTGGATGCATTTGAAAATCCCAGTGAGTATTTTAGTGGTTTAGAAGTGTAACTTACATTGAATTAAGTCCAAATTAGGCTTGTAATTAATATTCTTGAGAATTCCAATAAAGGCACTCTTAAGCATTTTAAGAAACAGGTTAACAGATTATTATCATCTGGCTTTTTCAGTTATTTTAAGAGTTATTAACTTAATGAGAAAGCCTCTAAGTCTTTAGGATGCTTTAAAATAATCACAGATAGCATTGCTTAAGAACTGTTAAACAGAAGTAAATAACCCGTTGGGTCTATTAAGGCAAAATCAGCACCCTGAATTTGATGCTCTTGCTTAAAACTAGAAGTCAGACTAGAGTTATAAGACTGCAAACACTTTTCTTTCAAAATAGTACTGGGTTAGGAGTTACCACACACTTCTACACAAAAGGTAGAAGTGAAAAATGTTGATAGAGGCTCAAATTCAAACTCCTCTTTTACCAAAACAGCCTGGATTTTAACAGAGAAAGAGGATATATGCTTGCCCTCTGGCTAGCACAGCTGAGAATGTTTTTGAGACAATGTTATTCTGAGTTATGCTGAGTTTCTTTGATAGTACCATCTTTTTTAAAAGAACCTGTCCTTTCTCAGATTTCTAGTTCTAAGGTTACAGGTGAGCATTTATTTGCTCATGAGATGCAGCATTCATTTTGGTGCATTAGTCCAAATTAAAAAATAGAATTTGCAAATACAATTTTTGTTTGAATATCTCCCTGGACAGATTGGTTAAGCTCTACAGCCATGAAAGGCAAATGACCTGCATTCTCACTAGCTGGGCTGGAAACAGTGCAATCACATATCTGGAGCACAATTTGGTTAGAGAACTATAATTAATTAACTAAGAGGTTTGGAATAAGATTTACCAACAACTTTAATGATATTAATGCAATCCTTATGAGAAATTAGTGTAAAACAATTGTAGACTATTGCAACAGCAGCATAGGCAGATCCTTTCTTGTGAAGAAACAATTGTAATTTTTTATAAGTATTCCCTTGTAATACAGTCAGTGGTAGGAAAAGCAAACAGTGTCATAAAGCTGAATAAAAAGAATAACACTATTGACAACAATTATAAACTAAATTGCACTGATTAATAAGAAAAATTAGGTTCTAAATCTCAGGCTATAAATAATTAGTTATCAAACCAGTCTAAGAGGAGCGTAAGAGGAGAATGTCTGGACTTGATATAAATTTAAATTAGCATCTGGACCCATAAATATCCTGAGGAGACAAAAACAATGCTTTTAGCAGTCTAAAGACCAGTTAAATCTCTAAATTGAGAGTAAGATGTATAGATATGGGAAAGAAAGCAATAATATGGAGGATCACCTCCCCAAGTTAATCTTAGTAATTTTGGCAGGGTTTCTTTATGGCATCAGTAGAAGATGTAATAAAGAAGATTCTTTTAAGATCTGCATTTAGTGTTGACTATACATGCACCAAAAAAAATTGCAAGACCCAGTTCTGACTTTACCATTTTGAAAGCAAGGAGGACATTTATCAGAAGGAAACCCCCCACCTGACTGCACGTTCCCAGGTGAGCAGGTTTGCATTGTCAGGAGCAGCAAGAGCAGGCAGAGCCATGACAAGGTAGCAGGCAGGGCAGCGACCTCACCAAGGGCACGTTCTCACTGTGCCCAAATAAACATGTACAGCAGGACCAGCCATGGCAAAACAGGGTCAACCAAGAGTCCAGGTTTCCAGACAAGTCTGTAGAGATGAATAGGTCGGAGGTGAAGCTGGGAAGTCAAGTCACTGGGTCAGGATCAGCAAGGGTCGTACCAGGCAAAGGCACATTAATGGTGCCTCTCTGGCAGTGGCTTGAGTTTGAATACAGCTCCCAGGTGAAAGGGAAGAGGTGGCCAAGGAGGCTCCTCACAGCTCCATCACACTGCTTTCTCCAGGGCAGCCCCATCCCAGGCTACCTGAGACGTGGGAACCAGCACTGGCCCCGTGCACAGCTGAGCCCCCAGGGAGCAGGGACCTGGACTGCTCCATCTGCTCCTCAGCACCTCTTCCATAAAGCTAGACAATCCAGGCATTCCTGTGGCAGAAGACATTTTGCCACCAAGTGCATTTTGAGAGTGCATAAGGAGCCCATTTGGATGTCTAGAACAAGGATACAGCTCTGGTTCTCGTTTTTTGGTTTTGTGTGGTTTTGGGGAAAATTTTTTGGTTGGTTGGTTGGTTGGTTGGTTGGATGTTTGGTTGGTTGATTTTTTGGTGGTTTTCTTTTTTGTGGTAGGAATGGATAAAAAAAAGGAATTGAAGTTTTAGTGTCCCAGATCAGAAGATGAACTTTCCTGACAAGTCCCTTTGGTCTGGAGGTAAAAGTGTGTCTACATGATGTAATTACACCATCACCTACTGAGTTTGCATTTTGTCAACATGTTTTTTTTCAGAATTACAAATGGAACTGGTTTGTAACAGTAACTGGCACAAGCTTATCAGGAGACTGCAGGGTAGCACGTGCAAATAAAACTTCTCTTGATTTCTCAGTAGTATT